AATGGCAATACAGGATGTATAAAAAAGCATGCCAATTGGATTGTGCGTTTTTATTGATGCATTAATTAATGTATTTTTTCATAGTCATAATTCATAAAGATTTATCTTTTAGCTGTATAGCAAGAGCAAATACGAATCCGATAAAAATTGTTTGTCGAAAGTGTATATATTTTCACCGTTGAGAATGGGGTCCAAATCTAATGAAAATGTGAACGAGAATGCTATAGGAAGGCTTGTAAAGATGCAAAAGAAAATTTTGCGTCTTTTCAACAAGAATTTGACTTTACGGAGACACACAATTCGTGCTCAATCGAAAAGACAATGCACTATTCGTTTGACTATGCCCAACAAGTGCATATACCGAGTAATCCAATGCAGCCTGGCCCAATCTACTTCAAGACGCCACGAAAATGCGGGATATTCGGTGTTGCATCTGAAGCTGTTCCCCGGCAAGTAAACTTCTTGATAGATAAAGCTGTATCAGTTGGAAAAGGAGCGAATTCAACCATTAGTTACTTGCACTATTTCTTAGAGCATCATGGCTTTGGCGAAACTGATGTGCATTTTAACGCAGACAACTGCGGTGGGCAAAACAAGAACAATTTCTTTTTGCGGTATTTGTCTTGGAGAGTTGCAAATCATCTTCATAGAACAATTATATATTCATTTCTCCTAGCGGGTCACACTAAATTTGGCCCAGATCGTGTTATACGAATTAGGGTCAGTCGTAGAAACATCAAGTTCCATCGGCTTCAATAAAGCCCAGCTTGTGGGAACACACGATGGTAAAGTCATTGTTCCTGTTTACGATTGGTCTGCATTTCTTGGTCAATACTTCAGAAAGCTTCCCAACATCACAAAATTCCATCATTTTCGTTTTGCCTTAGACGAATCGGGAATTGTTTATTACAAAGCCTTCGTAACTTCAGAGGAACAAAAAATGAACTTATTGAAAAAGGCGACCTTTTTGCCGCCGTCTGATCTTCCGGCAAAGGTCATGCCAAATGGTTTAGATGCAGAGAGGCAGAACTACCTTCTTAAGGAAATTAGACAGTTTTGCAAACCAAGAACTGAGGACCTTGTTGCTCCGTCTCCGGACTTAAACTTATGACCAGACTCTTAGGTAATATGTAGAGTTCAAATCGGTATGCATATCAAAGTGGATATACCTCAGTCAACCATAAATTGTATCTTCCAATCCTATTAGCGAATCATCTTCAGGCCAATTCACAATTGGCATCGAGTGACAAATAAATATAATTAACAAATATATAAAGAGCATTCATATAATTATATAAATATATCCAATTGTACATCACTGACTTGATCTGACAATGATTCTGTACGTATAGTAGGTTCGACTGTAATCATTTAAAATTTGTGAATATTGTAGTATATTACTGAATAGTTTTTAATAACTTAAGGTTTAACTATGCCTTAAATTTTTCGAAAATATTTTATTTCTCTAAATTAGGTATAGATAGATTATATTATATATATTCAGGAGAATATTTTTAGATATCCCGCGGTGTGGGATAAATACCCTATGAAACTGATACTTTTAAGTATTAATAGCTTTCGATGTAATATATTATTATTGGATTTGCAGCAAAGATTTCGTGCAGTACACATTATGTTTATGACATCAGTATATGCACGATTAAACTTACCAGTTTTGCTGCCTTGGGAAGTTTTTATTTAATTAATAATGACTGTTTATTGCAAAAGAGAAAATTCTGCTCCTGACTTAAATTCCATCATTCAACAATTATTACACTGACCTGAATAGAAAGGTCAAGTGTCTTAAATCCCTAGTTTTCTGTTTTCTTCTGTTTTTTTTCGTTGTCGAGAAATCGAGTTTGCGTTCGCGCATCGCAGGCTCAGGATGCAACGATTAATCCAAAATGCCATCGATTCTTCGACTCCACGATTCGTGTATAATAGTAAGAAGCTTGTATTTATGTACGTAATAGCCGGCTCATGCCATGCTAGTGGTGCATTTTTCGTTTATTAGCCCATATATATAGACTTATATGGACTTATACGCACGCGCACAATTCCGAACTCCAATGGTGACATATTCAGTCCAGTTTCAAAATGGCGCCTTTTAGTGGCTGAGTGATCAGAATATATTTCTCACAGTTTCGTTGAATTTTCAAAGAGTTGTGCCGGTTTCCTATGGATTTTACGTTGTATCGCACTCCGAACTTTCTTGCGTGTTGAATTAATATGTTTTTCTTCGTGTAACGACTCGAAAACCCAAAAATTTGGACCCAGCGAATTTTACAAAGGACAAGTTAAAGGTTCGACAGTTTGACTTTTTAACTAATAAACATGCAACTGTCTATAAATATACGTTGTAGAGTCATAAACATCCGTGGTGTAGTTGTGTTCATTTTTTGTCGAACTCTGGACTTTCTTGCGTGTTGAATTAATGTTTTTCTTTTTGTATTAAACGACTCTAAAATTTGGCTTCCAAAATTTGGCCGACCCGGCGGATTTATACGATCAGTATGTTGTATTAAACGACTCGAAAACCCCAAAATTTGGACCCGACACGAATGTGTACAATATAGTGGAATATAAGCAAGGACAATTTAAAGGTTCGACAGTTTATTTTGATTTATTGTATGGTTCTCATTTGCCTAATACAACAACATTTAGTTCACAATACAATATAAACAAAGGCAAGTTAAAGGTTTGACCATATTAAAATACATGTATTGAAATTCGCGCAATAGCTACTAGAATTCGCGCAAGTAAAGATAAAGCGAGCGTTCGATCAAAATACCAAAAACAACTAAGACATTTATTGTATGGTTCTGATTTGCCTAATAGAATAACATTTAGTTCACAATATAATATAAACAAAATATAAACAAGGAAAAATTAAAGGTTTGACAGTTTCACTACACAATGTCGACAATATACCTTAATACATCTATTAAAATTCGCGCAGTAGCTACTAGTCGGTGCGCCAAACGCTTTGTGGTAGCTATACTAAAGATAATTAAAGCGTGCCTTCAAAATACCTACAAGAACTAAGACATTTATTGTATGGTTCTCATTTGCTTAATACAATAACAATTAGCTCGACGCGAATTTTAACTAGTATCATATTTCAAAATATAATGAACAATGTAAACTAGCCAATTCTTTTCACCTACAAAATGTCGACAATATACATTAATACATGTATTAAAATTCGCGCAGTAGCTATTAGAGTTCGAGCAAGTAGTAAAGATAAAGCTTGCATTCAAAATACCAAGACATTTATTGCATGGTTCTCATTTGCCTAATACAATATGAATAACATTAACATTTAGTTCACAATATAATATAAACAAGGAATAGTCGTTCGATTTGGCTATACCGTTTGCTCGTTTTGAATGTATATTGATCGATTTCAATAATCGATTTACATATCAGTCTGCTCGATTCGAGTAAGTGTTGCCCGATTTGTATCATTGGTGATTTGGGTTCGACTTATAACTATTGGACCTATTGAATTTTGACAGTAAAAACGCGCCATATGTAATACATGTATTAAAATTCGCGCAGTAGCTACTAGTATTGGGGCAAGTAAAGAAAAACCGTGCGTTCAAAATACCACTGGCAATGAACAATAACTAAGACATTTGTTACGAAATCTGCTACAAAATGTCGACAATATAGCATACAGTGTTGGATTTTTCTCATGTGTATAATGTAGCATATGATAACACATGTATTAAAAAAAATCATGCAGTAGCTACAAGAATTCGCGCAGCGCTGGGTGCGCAAAATTGCAAAAAGCCGTTTGTGGTAGCTATAGTAAATATAAAATTTATGCTACAAGGGCCAAGGTAATAAATAGGGAAAAGAACTAGCTATTTTAAAACTGTAATGTATGATGATTCTTTTGAGATAACAATGAGAAGATGAAGCGAACGAAGAAGAAAAATTCCAGTTGGCGGCCAAAAAAGCCGTTTGGCGTGAAGTTTAAATTGCCCTGTTAGTACATTTAAAATGCACGTAGTAGCCTATAATATGTGCGTCGAACGCATATTACCTCGCCCTCGACGTTTTGCCCTCGCCCTCGACGTTTTACCCTCGCCCTCGATATTTAACCCTCGACACTCGACCAATAGATAAACATCAAACGACATATAGGGGCACTCAAAGTTGCACTATTTGCATGGTATAGGGTTGAAAAGTTGCCAATGATAAAGTGGTGATTTCTGTCTTCTGCTTTTTGTTGTCAAATTATTGATTTTCTTTGGATAAATCTACCGTATCTACCGCTGAAACTGTTCTATACGAACTCTCTTGCTCCCCATTCCCTTGTCTATTACACCATAGCCAATCTCGTTCCCCGAGCCTGCGATCCTCGGGAAGAAACGAAGGCTCTGGGATAATCCGTTGCCGAAAGCCAGGAATTCTGGCTAAGATTGAACTGCACATTCCATAGCAACGGCCAATCATATTCCTCCCTGAAACGGATTGTCCCAGAGCCTTCGTTTCCTTCCCAATGACCGCAGGCTCAGGGAACGAGATTGCACCATAGCGCGCATGTCATCATTTTCAGGTCAGTGTGAACGCCTGAGTAGGCGTCTTGTTTTAATTAGGTTTATGCATGCTGCCAGATATAGGTGTTGATGTGCTGATTTCCGTCAAAGTTAAGTTGATTAATTAATACCTCATTTACCGTCGGGCAACACACTCAGTTATTATTACTCCAGGCAGCTGGCCATGTCACTTCGTTGTTGCTATTGTATTACGAAAAATTGGATGCAACTGTCTGAAATGCATTAGGTTCGGTGCATGAAAAACGCGTCGTCTAAACTTAATTAAGTAGAATCTTTACCGGATAATGTCATAATGTGACATGATTTTGCGAAGTTTCTGCCGTGTCACACTCTAAGTTCCAGCCGAGAGGTTATATAAAGACAAAAGATTCGCGCGACAAATTTCGCTAGTGGAAAATTAATAGGCTTTATAGTTATTCAAACCTTACAAGAATTTAATTGATTTAGGCGCCGATATACTACCGCTTTCAATCGTTGTATTATATTCAGGGTATAGGCAAAATTCGCCTGTGTTCCAGACTGCATGGTACTGAAGTCAGGTAAACCATTAAGATCAATATTACTGTACAGTGAAACTGTTTTATATATGTTTATTTGGATACAATTGTATTTGTATAACATAACGACTTTCAGTTATTCGGCCAGAGTAATAATATAACTTAAGTGAATTATAGTTGACGCTATTAAAAGACCGCGGAAGCGACAAGCTCGCGGATGTATATTTTAAACCACCTTTTAACATTCGAGAAACATTTTGCTCATTTTTATTGTTGCAGTATTTCACCGCTTCAGTTCGATGATACTCTAATAAAATTGCACGAATATTTAATATTGTAGAGGGGGGTGAACTTATTAATTGCTGTCCGTATTAAATACTAATAGTGTTTTTTGCCGTAAATGCTACAAGACAAGCGGTTTCAGATAAACTTTTCAGCGCCTACAAAGCCGGCTTAAACAATGTAAAGATGTCTGTAAAGCGTTTAAACGGCTTCGTGAACGTTTTTGAACGGTTTGTGCCAAACGTTGAAACGATTTAGCAACATTTTTCAAACGTTTTTGTCCAACCGTTCGAACGGTTCATTAAGAAGTCTGAACGATCTCAAAAATCGTTTCAACGGAATGCTAAAGCGTTTAAACGGATAACGAACGGTTAACGAACGATTTTGCAGAACGTTTTTCAAAACCGTTAACGTATGTTTTCCCAAAGAAGGTCACGATTTTTGTTTTGTTTGGGAATTAAGTTCGTAGGCATTTTATTTAAAAACGGGACGAAAAATGACTCACCTGCGAAATATTAATTCGCAACTACGGAAACATTGAAACTATAAATACCGAGCTAAAAATCTTTCACATGTTTTCCTGAGCTATAGCTGGTCTTCAACGACGGCTCTTTTGACCATATGGTTTATATTTCAATACATTTATTTCATTTTGTGTGTATAAAGTAATATAACGGGACGAAAATTGCATTTTCAATGGCGTCATACCCGTTAGAAGTATCCCGCATCTGGACTTTAAAAACATTTCGGCAAAAAACTCGGAA